GTCTTTTGGAACAATTAGAAAATAACAAAAACGAAACTATTCAGTTTGAACAACAAAGGGCAATTAATCAAGTCCGATAACAGATTTTCCAACAAGCTTTACGAAGAGCTCTAGGAACTCTGGAGGGAATATTAATTTTACACATTCTTTAAAAAGTATAAATAAAATAATGTTTTTATCATATTATATTAAACAATTATTATTGGACGGAGAAAATAATACTCCACCTTTTATGGTTAACATACATAAGCATTATCCATCTTGATATATACCTTTGGTTTTCTTTTAGCATCATTAATTAACAAAATATATAGGGTTGCAACTTGCAATTATGTAAAGAACATGGTTGGCAATTTCAATTTCCTTGAAGCAGGCAACGAAGACCATGTCAACTTAAGCGCAATTAAGAAAAAGCCGTGCAGTTAGTCATTCATCAATAAATAGGAGACCATACTTGTATCCATTTATCATATTCACATCTAATTTTTTACTGCAAATAACAATTTTTTTTTCTTCATACAAACTTATCAATATGTCAAGAATTTTGCACAAAATCGAGGAGAAGCTCCACATACACCACAAGCATGGAGATGATGATATTCCAGCAGCGCAAGAAATCCCTGTGATTAAGGATGAAAGCAATGTAGATAAGAAAGAGGACGACGTTGTTGATGATCATAAGAAAAGGCATTTGGTGAAAAAAGTTGGAAAAATTGCAAAAAAATTGTTACATGGTCATAACAAAACATCCAAAGAGGAAGAGGAAGAGGAAGAGGAAGAGGCGGAGGCGGAGGAGGGAGAAGAAGTAGAAGCAGAAGAAGGTGGTTTTGAATTTGAACTCAACTTCGACTTTTGAATTTTTATTGTTATTACTATGATTTAGGTATTATCGACCCAATTGTTGTGTGCATTTATATTTGCCTTCTTGTTTAGTGATATAAGAGTGTTTTCTCCATAGCAAAAACAAAAATTAGATTCGTCCAAAAGCTCCCAACTGCACGGCTAAATTCATTCCTGGAGAAACGCGCTAAAACTCAAATTTAAAATTTCTAATTAAACAAAGAAATTTCAACTAATTCCCAATTCGCGGGGCAGCATCAGAATTTCCAACTGTGTGTTGCAGACACTTTAAATTTAATTATCCCAATTCCCAATCTATATTTGTATAATTAAATTATCCTCTCAAGGACTTCATTAAACCTATCTTCAATGTGACGGATCCTTCACAATCTTGCTAACAATAACCAAATTCATTAATACATTGTTGGTGTAGTTAATATATCATAAATATAATAATTTACAATTGAAAAATAAAAATGAAAAATAATATAAATAAACTATTATTCAAGCTGAAACACAAATATTTCGCGCTTTTAAAGGAGATTCAAATTCATTGCAGTATAATCTACTTCGATTCAAATTTATTATTTGAAGTGGTCACAAGACTCACAAATGTGAATTATTGAAATTTTATAAAACGTAGTTGCTATTTGCTTAGTTCAAAATTGTTTGTCATGTTGCGCTTATCAAAAGCCAATTTGACTATTTTCAAAAATAAGTTGGATTACATTAATTCAATATTTTATAAAGAAAAAAAGATTGGATATTCTAAAACTATATGAAAATTATTATAAATTATAATTTTTTGAATATTAATATGATGAAAAAATACATCTTAAAATATTAATCAAAGTTTTTATAGTTTGACTCTGAAAAAAGAA